TGTGGCGGTGTTGCCAGGTCCTCTGTCTTCGTGACTGTGTTACCAGACAGTGTCCGTCTCCGTGACTAAGTTACCAAGTCCTCTATCACCGTGACTGTGTTACAGGTCTACGTGACTGTGTTACCAAGTCCTGACTCCATGTCTGTGTATCAGGCTGTGTTACCAGACTGTGTTACCAGACTAGCTCTGTTCTACCAGTTCCTTTCGTCTCCGTGTCTGTGTTACCAGGCCGTGTCTGTCTCCGTGACTGTGTTACCAGACCGTGTCTGTCTCCGTGACTGTGTTACCAGACCGTGTCTGTCTCCGTGTCTGTGTTACCAGGCCGTGTCTGTCTCCGTGACTGTGTTACCAGACCGTGTCTGTCTCCGTGACTGTGTTACCAGGCGTCCTGCCTCCGTGTCTGTGTTACCAGGCCGTGTCTGTCTCCGTGACTGTGTTACCAGGCCGCCTGTCTCCGTGACTGTGTTACCAGGCGTCCTGCCTCCGTGTCTGTGTTACCAGGCCGTGTCTGTCTCCGTGACTGTGTTACCAGGTCGTGTCTGTCTCCGTGACTGTGTTACCAGGCGTCCTGTCTCCGTGACTGTGTTACTTGTCTTCCTGTCTCCATAGCTGTGTTGCCAGGCCTTCTCTCTCCATGACTATGTTACCACTTACCAGGCGTCCTGCCTCCGTGACTGTGTTACCACGCTGCCTGACTCCGTGACTCTGTTACCGGGCCTCCTGTCTCCGCAGCCTTGTTACCAGGCCCCCGTGACTGTGTTACCAGGCCCCCGTGATTGTGTTACCAGGCCCCCGTGATTGTGTTACCGGGCCTCCTGTCTCCGCAGCCTTGTTACCAGGTCGCCTGCCTCTGTGGTTAGCGTTCAGCCGCCCGTCCGAAGCTCTCCTGCTCTCCGAGCGAGGTGAGCCGAAACTCACTCTGCTCCAGATTAGGTCAGAGCCGCAGCACCTGAGGCGAATGTCAATCGCCGCAACGAGTTCAGCGCACTGCAGAGCCTGTGAGGCCGTGTGGGATCCAGTGCGCTGCGGATAGAGGATACTATCAAAGGCCTACAACGAGCTGCCAATAGGAGAACAATTTGGAGTAAATTATAGCTGGTTGGAGAGAGTATGTGTGTAATACAGCCAATTATACCTCATACATCTGTCATCTACACATTGCAGCAGAAAAGAGATTAATGAATCAGACAACTTGAGGGTGTCTTCTCACTCTTTATCCCTGGCGTGCCAACACTCCCTAAACCTCCTGGCGACCTCCCTCACCAGTAGTAGTTCCAGCGAGCGCTGAGGGAGGTGTGTGTGTGTGGGGGGGGGGGGGGGTTACAGAGTGCCACCGAGGCGCCTTCATCACGGGGAAATCCTGACAGACGGCGCTCGCCGGCAATAAAGTGGCCCAGGTCTCTGGTAAACAGCCGCTCTCGACCGGAGCGTGCATGCCTCGCGGCAGTCCTGCGCATCGCGGCACGGGTAGGGGCTGGTCAGTGATTGTAGTATTGTCGTCTGAAGGACTTACACACTTTCGGATTGAGACTGAGACTGACACAGACATTAATAATGTTGTGATCTACTAGAAGGGTTGGAGCCGGAGGTGAAATCTACAGTCATGCCTGCAAGTACTTAGTACTGGTATTTTCCCATAAGATACTCAATTTAGGTTAAATATGGTCTATTACTCGACGTGCTGCGGAATAAACGTTCAGTTACATAAACGGCTAAAAAGGAATTCATCCAATTTTCAGAACTAATGGCATCAATTCATTATTGCCATTCCACATCCCTTTCATTTCAACGTCAGCATATATAATTAATTGCACTTGTCTGCAGACTGCACAACAGTCGCTCTAGCGTCATAGTTTAATTTCGCTGATATCGACATTTGTGGCAGACACAGAAACATCTTTGGATCGTCCTTGACTATGAGCTGACGTCTCCGCTGCCGTTCTGGGCTGTTCGGGTGGCAGTTACTGGGCAGACTGCCAATTGTTCCAATTGTTCAGACGGAAGCGACTGTTTGGCTGAATATGTGTATTGTGTACTGTGTGGGGAATTAAGTATACAACAAAAATAATACCTTTGGCTTTATATCTGGACAGAAAAGGCAGAAAGGCAATAGACATCTACATATCTTGATCTATAGGTATGCATGTGTCCAGAGTTGAACGGCCGTCTGTCTGACGGGGCTGGTATGCACGCTTAGCTATGCATTGCGCATATGTGTTCGTATACAGAGAAGGTCGTTTGACTGGATGCGTATGCACGCCCAGGTGTATACGTAGTAATCTATCCACTAAGGAATAGGCCTCTGTCGACAAGGCACGCGTGCCGGCCTTCTCAGAGCCGCACTGGGGACACGGGTCACGGCGGTTCGGAGAAGGGGATCGATCGCTCAATACCTGCCCGCCCGGCTGATGACAGTCTTGAGTAGGAGGAAAGCGAGAGACACTAATCAAGAGACGAGGCCCGGGGAGACATGCCACTGGAATTTGGGGTGGTTTGATCTGCGCCCGGACCTAATGAGAACCGTCACGAGCTGGACCAGTCAGGGACCATGGGGATCACCAGACAGATGCGGGCTCGAGCTCCACCACCGGCCGGCGTAGGCGGAAGAATTGTCAGCAAACTGTGACCAGCGTTGACATTGGCATTTCCCGGCCTCTGGGAAGAAATTCTGCCCCCTGGCAAGGTCGGGCTGCATCGGGACGGCTTCCTCTCCGACCCCCGTGAACTCGATAACGATAGCTGGCGTGGTCTGCCGAGAGATTTGTAGGTTCGCCGTGCTCAGCGACCGCTATCCTGGCCGGCTTCAGTTCGTGGTATGTTAGTTTTGGTGTTATGGTGTCAGTGTCGGTGTTAAGGTGGCAGTGTCTTAGTATCAATGTCGTCATCAGTCCGTTTATCTGTCGGTGTCGGTCAGTGTTTTAGTGTCCGTATCGTGATGTCAAGTTCGGTGTCGTGGAGTTGGTGTCGATGTCATAGTGTCCGCCACTCGGTGTCGTGGCGTCAGTGTCGGTGTCATGGTGTAAGTGTCAGCGTCGATCAGTGTCGATGGTCCGACACTGACCGACACTCACTCACACTCAGCACTCAGCTGACACCCAGCGTGTCGGCCCCGATGCCGATTATCCGCGCTGCTGCGCCGCGGCCGTATTACCCGGATCACCAGAGATTGCTGCAGTCATCTCGCGTTCATCGAATTTCATGATTTATGATCAGTGATGTGTAGGCCTAAATGGAATTTCTCACATTTCCGTGGAAGTTGAAATGTTGGAGCCATCATTCACCCTCAGTGAACTATGATTCTTTCACGTGTTTCGACCATTACTTAGCTAAGTGACGTAGGATCCCAGAACCCTTTGAAAAACTTGATAAATCTTATTGTCTGCTCATACCTATATGGAAACGTAAATAGGTATCCAGGTTGGTGTTTTCATTCCGATATTCGAACTTCGATATAAATCACGAAAAATAGGTATTTTAATCGTTTTTTTAAATAGTTGATTTAAAGATTTAGGTAGTTCTATTGTTGTGGACCATTGCGGGGATTGTTCTGCAGCACAATGCCTTTTTTAGTTTTGTGATAGGCATGTGCATTTGTTGAGCCATATAAGCGCCTTGAGCGTTAGTCCTAACTGTCGACTGTCTATTGTCTAAGTTACCATTACTGGTATATGTGATGTGACAAGAGTGTAGGTAGGTATACATATAAGAGTGTAGGTTATAAAAAGCACCTCCTATTCTTATTTGTCTCATGCTTTGTATGTTCTTCCCATGTTCCTATTTAGCGCGATTAACTACGACGATTCAGTACAGCTACGTAGACAATTTACTAACATCACACCTAATTAAGTTATAATTTCTTTTCAAAAGCTTGTTTCGTCAGACGGCGAAGCTGTTGCATCATGAAGCACACTGATTTAGGTACCGTGCAGTCAGCACGACTTTTGCGCATCTACTCTTCAGAGTTTCCTGGTGGAAACAGCATTGAATTATCTAACAACAGGTGGCGATATAGGAATAGACGTTGCGATCGGGTACGATGAGTAGTCTAGCTAACCTTAAGGATTCTACTAATCCTTCAGATTCTTCAGGTTGTGATAGGTATGCAGGGTGGTAGGTAAGGATTCTACCTGAACTAATCGCGTTTTCTAAAGCAATGTTTCGCTTTGGAAACTGATTACCGCACACGAATTATCAGAAAACAAATTAGTTCACACCATGCTTTATCGCTTTAGGTGCATAGATATTACGATTTATAGGTATCGGCAGTTATAGAAACGACAGCAGATGGGCCAATCACAGTCACAGTTTTGCGTGCAAATGCACTAGTTAAACAAAGTATTTAGAAATGGGTGTTTTTAAATTTCACTACTCGTATTGCACAGCATTTCAAAATAGTTCAGTTCACCGGACAAACAACTTTTCCATCGTGTGACGGTCGGCCAATGTTTAATATTTAAACCGGTGACCCATTTGGCGTCCGAATTTAGTGCAGTTTTCTCTGGGGACCAGCTCAATTTGTCGATAAGCCCGATCTAGTCGATCACGGGAGTGGCAATTCACTTACGCGCGCGAACGCGACCTGGCCCCCCGTGAAAACAACCTGGCGATGAATGGCCCTCCGCCCGACGGAGCCGGTCTGATTTAATGGAGCACCACCCGATGGACGGCCTGGCCCGCCGCTCTGCGCGCCCCACCGTCCCGGCGGTGACCTCTCCGGCTGTTGTCCCCGTCGGCCGTCTCGCGTTACGCGGGTCACGCCACCGGTCGCTCAGGTACCGGTGCGACGCCGGCAATTAGCGCTCGGGCCGGCCCAGCTGCCTTCCGTCGGCTCCCGGCGGGTCGCCATCGATCCCCGAGCGCGGCCGCCCGCCGCCGCCGCCGCCGCCGCCGCCGCCGCCGCTGCACGTGCGGCGCACGGCGGCAGTCGGCGGCTGTCGGCGGCCGAAGCGGCCCAGTACGCCGCAGGTGCCCTCCTGAAGCCGTCACTGCGTGGTCCAGTGTCTGAAGGTGACTGACGGCCGAGCGACGGCCAGTGCTGAGAGGTGTCTAATCGAATAGAGCGAAGTCATCCTCTTCGCTCATAAACCGTGAACTCAGGACACTTGTGGTAGTATTCTACGAAGACTTATTGTCTAGCCCAGCCATCGTTACACTTGTGGTGATCAGTTGGCCTCAGCACCTGCATCTGTCAATATCATCGCTCCTGACTACAATGAAGGGAGGTGAGCTCACCCTCGGCCAGCGCGGACACTGATTTTACGGCGACTCAGCCAGCCTGTCATCTGGTCCCGTTAATCTCCTAAACTGCCGACGCTCACTCCTCCCTGCGACATTGGCCCCGAGGGACGGACACGCGCTCTGTAAGGGCAGAGAGCCGCCAATCGGCCCGTCGATAGGGTGTGGAACGGCCGGCGCGCGTGTCACCTCGCCGTCGGCGGCGACGGAGCGAGCGTTTTTAAACTATTCGCCGGTCGTCATGGGTGGATCGATCCTGCGGCCGTGAGCTCGATTCGGCGACCCCGCGGCAGCCGGCTGGACCCGACCCTCGACCGTTCGACAGAGGGTTTGTGCCTGATCAAACCGCGCGGTCGTCGCCGGCTTGGCAATGGAACGGCGCCGACAACTGTTTGGTATGGGCCGGAAGCCCCGCTCGGCGGCTTAGAGCGCTGATGAAGACAGCCGAAGCCGTCATATGGTCGGGGGCCGCTCGCTCGGGCACGCCGAGCACGATCGGCTAAATCAACTAGAGCTTGGCTCGACCGCGCTCGGCGCGGCACGTCTTTTGAGCCGGATCTTCGCACTATCCGCAGCCGACGGCCCCGAACGGCCCTCCATCGAGCGGACATCGCCGGCGACCGGTCACGGAGCACCGAGTTCAGCCGAGCGAGCCGCAGAACGTGAGCTGTCGCACCTCCGAGGTCGGCCTCTGAGCCCCTGAACGCCGGTCTGTGTGACCCGTACTCGAGTCTCTCCAGTGGGAACTGAAACTGCCAGCGGCAGCCGGCCGGACGCGCGCCGGCCCTGGGACGCACCGCGGCCGCCGCCGGCGGACCATGGCATGGCTGAGGCGGGTGTGACCTCGGGCGCACTCACCCAGCTTCCTGTGCTGCTCGCACGGCCATCGGTGAACGCGTCGCCGGCCACCGAGATCGGTCCGCTGGCCAACGCGTCACTGCTGGGTGCCGACCTGGCCCGCGTCTCGCTGCTCGCTCAGGCGCTCAAGATCGGCGCCATGACGGCCGTCATTCTTCTCTCGGTGCTGGGAAATCTGCTGGTGATCGTCAGTGTCCTACTACACCGAAGGATACGAGTCGTAGCCAACTACTTTGTGATGTCGCTCGCGTTTGCCGATATGCTGGTGGCGCTGTGTGCTATGACGTTCAACGCCAGCATCCAAATCACCGGCCGATGGATGTTCGGCTACGTCATGTGCGACATGTGGAACTCGTTAGACGTATTCTTCAGCACGGTCAGCATCCTGCACTTGTGCTGCATCAGCGTGGACCGCTACTTCGCCATCCTGCGGCCGCTCGAGTACCGCACCCACATGAACAAGCGGACGGTGGCGGCCATGTTGGCGGCGTCGTGGACCACGCCAGCAGTAATATCATTCCTGCCCATCTTCCTCGGCTGGTACACGACGTCCGAGCACCTGAGCTACCGCGCGCGCCACCCGGACACGTGTGAGTTTATCGTCAACGAGGTGTACATGCTGGTGTCGTCGAGCGTGTCGTTCTGGATCCCGGGCGTGGTCATGGTGGTGATGTACAGCCGCATCTACCAGGAGGCGCGCAAGCAGCACCGCGCCATCAGCCGCACGCCGAGCACCATCAACTTCCACAGCACCGACTGCGCCGTGCCGCTGGACGACATCACAGAGGAGGAGCTCACCCTGGCGCTCTCCGCGCTCAACAACATCCGCGACGACCCGACGGGCGGCACCGGCGGTACCGGCGGCGGCGGCGGGGGTGGCGGCGGCGGGGGTAATTCGCCCTCCACTAACGGCGCGACGCCGTCGGGTGGGGCGCGCGCGCCCACGCACCTACCGCCGCGCTTCCTGCACAAGAAGGCGTCCAGCGTGTCCTTCTTCAGCGAGTCGGCCACGTCCGACCTGCGCAAGTCGTCCAACACATCGCGTCTGTGTCGGCTGCGCTACTCCACCAGCCACATGCTGCGCGAGCACAAGGCGGCCAAAACGCTGGGCGTCATCATGGGCTGTTTCGTGCTGTGCTGGCTACCGTTTTTTACCTGGTACGCGGCGGCGACTCTGTGCGGCTCTGCGTGCTCCGTGCCGCCGGTGTTGGTCGATGTACTGTTTTGGATCGGCTATCTGAACTCCACACTGAACCCGATGATATACGCGTACTTCAACACCGAGTTCAGGGACGCATTTCGCGAGACTCTGACGCTGGTGCTGTGCTGCCGGTCAGTGAGGCCAAGCGGGTCGTACGAGGCGCGGAACGGGTCGCACCCGACGCGTGCCGACCGAGCCAGTGGCAGTGGCGGAGCTGGGGGAGGAGGAAGTTCGGGCGGCGGTGGCGGAACCTCCACGGACCGCCCTCTCGAGCTGGTCGTTGCCTCATGATGGGGCTGCTAGTGGGGCAGACGTCCGCCCGGATTCATGTCGTTGGGCTCGTTGTCGGAGCCGAATTTTGTAAGCATCGCCACAATGAGACCACTGGCTGACTGGTCAGAGACAGAGAGTGAGTCTTTCGATGGCAATGTTGAAGAGAGCTTAGTGCCCTGGAGACCTGACAATGAAAAGGACGCTTATCGAACTCCCGGCGCTGTTAGGAACGGGTAGCGAAGGCTGATGGGGCTGTAAACGTGAGACTATTTTTACATTGCTGGCGGTAACGAGCGAGTGAAATCTGTTATCTGTTTCGCGTCACGCCCGGTCAGCGCTCAGTGCACCCAGCGGAGTCATTGGCGTCGCTGTGCCGTGCTATCTGTCGAACCCACCACCGCCCCGCATGGCGGACCCATCAGATACCTGCAACCGAGCTCTACATATGTATTGATTTTCATTCAAGCATTAACGGGACGTTGAATCGTGATTAGCGGGCCGAGGTGACACGACGCGACACCGAGCCAGTGGGGTCCAGGGAAGGGGGAGGGGGAGGGGGGCGATAACGAGAAGGGTGGAGAAGAACAAACAGAACCGCGGCGGCCCGCCGTGGTCGGCCGACAACACGCGCAGTGTGAGCCGAGCCGCGGTGCACGAGGGGTGCGCGGAGTGTTTCTCGCGCGGCGCGCGCGACGAACGCGATATAAGTGCGCGGTTTGGTGTACGGAATAACAGGACAACATCAACGGAGCGACAGGAGACGGACGCAGGATGACAGGTGGGCGCAGCGATAGGCTGCGGGGGGGAGGGAAGAATCTAGGTAGAACGGCCACGAGGAGACGGGATGGGGGGGGGGGGGGTGGGACCGTTCGACGGGCGCTATAGAAGTGGGCGTGACGGAGAGGGGTGGGTATCTAGTTGACCACGACACCGTGCGCCTAGAGAGGCCAGCATCTGTGGTCCCCGTCGTGCCATGGCCACGGCCGACGGGTGTGACCTGATCCGTATATGCCGTGTGCACAGGAGGACCTGGCAACTGTGGTCCCCGTCGTGTCATGGCCACGGCCGACGGGTGTGACCTGATCCGTACATGCCATGTGCACAGGATGACCTGGCAACTGTGGTCCCCGTCGTGTCATGGCCACGGCCGACGGGTGTGACCTGATCCGTACATGCCGTGTGCACAGGAGGACCTGGCAACTGTGGTCCCCGTCGTGTCATGGCCACGGCCGACGGGTGTGACCTGATCCGTACATGCCGTGGGAACAGGAGGACCTGGCAACTGTGGTCCCCGTCGTGCCATGGCCACGGCCGACGGGTGTGACCTGATCCGTACATGCCGTGTGAACAGGATGACCTGGCAACTGTGGTCCCCGTCGTGTCATGGCCACGGCCGACGGGTGTGACCTGATCCGTACATGCCGTGTGAACAGGATGACCGGGCAACTGTGGTCCCCGTCGTGTCATGGCCACGGCCGACGGGTGTGACCTGATCCGTACATGACGTGTGAACAGGATGACCTGGCAACTGTGGTCCCCGTCGTGTCATGGCCACGGCCGACGGGTGTGACCTGATCCGTATATTCCGTGTGCACAGGAGGACCTGGCAACTGTGGTCCCCGTCGTGTCATGGCCACGGCCGACGGGTGTGACCTGATCCGTACATGCCGTGTGAACAGGATGACCTGGCAACTGTGGTCCCCGTCGTGTCATGGCCACGGCCGACGGGTGTGACCTGATCCGTATATGCCGTGTGCACAGGAGGACCTGGCAGGCGGTGGCTCGCACAGAGCTGGAGGCGAAGATAAACCCGGGTGTTGACGGCCTTTCACAGCCAAACAGGGAGAGGAGTTGATCGGAGGACACGCTAATCAAGCATTAACGGGACGTTGAATCGTGATTAGCGGGCCGAGGTGACACGACGCGACACCGAGCCAGTGGGGTCCAGGGAAGGGGGAGGGGGAGGGGGGCGATAACGAGAAGGGTGGAGAAGAACAAACAGAACCGCGGCGGCCCGCCGTGGTCGGCCGACAACACGCGCAGTGTGAGCCGAGCCGCGGTGCACGAGGGGTGCGCGGAGTGTTTGCCCACCCACCATCCCCATCATCACCGTCCTGTCCTTTGTTCCCAACCGACCCTCGTCGTCCACCCGGGTTTGACGAAGCGGTGGCTCGCAGCACAGAGCTGGAGGCGAAGATAAACCCGGGTGTTGACGGCCTTTCACAGCCAAACAGGGAGAGGAGTTGATCGGAGGACACGCTAAACTGTAAGTGAAACGGTATCTAGCAGACCGGCCATTGTCGCGGCCATTACCGGCCATATGCATGAAAATGATGGTCAAAGTACTGCCGTTTGCTATCATATGAGCATCAACACTGGCATTGCCCTTCAGTCCACATCAATTTTGCAGACAAGACCCAACACCCCCTCCTAAACGGCCATAACAGGCTGCCAAGTTGTTTTCGTGTTCTGATGCACCCGTAGTAGGTCCTGTCATCTACCTCCTGTGTTCCTGTAGTCCTATATGTGACTGCTCCTTAGGGCCTAGTGGCATGTGTGCCACGATCACTGACCAAATGATCTCGCATCCTATACCAAGTCCGTCCGTCCGCGATCAACCTAGAGGGCGCGTGCGCACGAAGAGAGAGAGAGAGAGAGAGAGAGAGAGAGAGAGAGAGAGAGAGAGAGAGAGAGAGAGAGAGAGAGAGAGAGAGAGAGAGAGAGAGAGAGAGAGAGAGAGAGAGAGAGTCTTGAGCATGTGTAAGGTGAGGGGTTAGTGCCCAAGTGACCACTGACCGTCGACCCCATGCCACCGCACCACCAGTGCTGTTCCGTGACATGGTCACGAGTGAGCGAACCTCAAACCAAATCCCTCTATACGAGTGTCGTGGCCGCGGGAGCACTGCGGCCATGCACACGGCGAGATAATATAAGCGTTATGTATGTATGTAATCCGTACTGGATATATCAGACGATTACGCTTGTTGATACAGATGTTAAATTATGTCATATGTTGTATATGTAATGTGACCAAATAAAACTGACGAAGCATCCAAACTTCAATTTGATGATTTGATAAGCGGCCATAACTAACTACACTGAAGAAGCCATGCGATTGTTACAAGTGCGAACAATTAAAGATATATAAATGCTCAATTAAAGGAACAATTTACATGCCACTACGACATTGGGCAATGTGTAAAGCGCTTTTTCTCTCTCTTGCCCGGAACGCATAACAATCAATCCCGATGGAGAGCAATAAATCGGGCAGCCTTCTGCGACGTCTGGCTATTCGGGCCACCACCTGTCGGGCTGCCGGCAGACAGAGATAAGCCCGCCCGGATATTGCGACTTGTAATGACCTCTCTCGCTGCTCGCCGACCTTCTTTGTGTGGCTGTGCGGTCAGTAGGTCGGCAGTGCCGATTCGATAGAGTCGCGTAGGTCGGGTGTGTACCGGCGCCGCGCCGTGGGAGTGTGGGAGTCCCGAGCCGCCGCCCCGCGCCCTCCGCAGGCCGACGCTCGTCTCAAGCCAGCGGTCATTAGTTCTGGAACTCCATCTCAAGTTGTGCGGCCGAGGGCGCAGCGCGGCCGGCACACTGCAGTATTTAGCGGCCCAAAGGTCAGCGTCCGGCAGCCGGCGGATGGCGGCCCGCGCCGCTGGGACAGCCCGACTGATGGACCGACCGCCATTCCCGGCATCCAGCTGTCGTAGAACGCAGCCTGGGCCGCAGTGGTGTCTCCAGCTCCGACTGCGGGGTCCCTCTAGCTCTGACCACGGTCCGGTCCCCCCCCACTCTGACAGCGGTCCCCCAGATCCATGTGCGGTCCCCACAGCTCTGACCACGGTCCCCCCAGCTCCCACCGGGCCGCGGTCCGGTCCCTTCAGCTCCGACGGCGGTCCACCAACTCTGACAGCGGTTTCCCATGGCTCCGACCGCGGTCCCCCAACTCTGACCGCGGTCCCCCAACTCTGACCGCGGTCCCCCAGCTCCAACTGCGGGGTCCCCCCAGCACCGACCGTGGTCCCCCTAGCTCTGACCACGGCCCGGTACCTCAGCTCCATCTGCGGTCCCTCAGCTCCGACCGGGGTCCCTTCAACCCAAATCAAAGCGCAGCTGCTACAGTCCCATACGGTCAAAACCAGTCCCTCCAGCCCCACCTCCAGGACTCCGTGTGTGTATATCCACACTACCCCTATTTTCAAGCTCTCAAATAACAGCCTCGTCTCTCCTGTTACTCGAGCCCGGTCTCTCCTGTTCATATCTCTTCGACTACCAGCCCTAAAGTCACGTCCATTTACCTTATTCGCTTCGGCCGGTCCAAATTACGTTAAGATGAGGCGTCAGCTTCTGCACCATCTGTTTCGAGAAGTGCCGCCCTGTTTTCTTATGTAAGACGGAGCATTCGACGTGCATGGGAACGAGAGTTTCCTGGCAAATCCGTCGAAATTTGATGGTAACTGGGATTTGTGGTAGGAGAGAATACATTTTTAGCGTCATAGATCTATCCTAAGCCTGGTAGTTTGGTTATTACATTACAGGATGCTTATATTTGTAGTCTTCCGGCAACACTGAACGCTCTGATCTGAACGTGCTTCTCATAAGAGCTTCATGAGTGGTATGCTCTATGCAGTGTCTTTATAGGTAGGAAGAAATCGTTGAGCTACGAGTAGGTATCATTCATTCTAATCTACATACAAAGAATGATAAAAATTAAAGATCGAGAGAGTGTATGGGGAGAGTTCAAAGGTCCGTGCAACAATCAATCCGTAGACTTACCTATACGATCCTCACCATAAACATGATGAAAATAATAAAAGCACGGCGCTTTGAAGCAGGGGCGTCGCCGACGGGGGGGTCGGGGGGGTCGTGACCCCCCCACTCTTGAAAACTGGGGGTGTCGACCCCCCCACTTTTTGCGATGCTGAGTATGCTTTTTTAGCTTTTATGTCAGTGAAGCAGGCGTCAGCAACACCAACAAATACATCAGATTCAGAATCGCTTCAAGAGCTCCCTAAAGCCAATTAGCCAATTACCTAAAGTTCAATTAGCTGTGGGCGGGGAACACCAGCACAACAATATTTTTAAGTAGCCACCATTCTAGTACCTTTTTATCCCTCAAAGGATTGGACGCGCCAAAACTGCCCCGAGCGTTCGTCTGATCGTAAAAAAAAAAATGGTCGCAGTCGATTCGTCGGATCAGTACCTAACTACAAAACTACAAACTAGCCTCAGCCCCATGGCTATCGTCACAACTAGCTGTACAGTGCACATGTAGGGGGAAGGGAGTCAGATGAAACCGTCTCGGGCTTTCGCAAAGAAGTCGCGCAAAAGGAGCCGATTGCAACGAAACTTCCGGTGCGCTCGTGTTATCACCTACTTAAAAATAAATCGATATCCCTGATTCAGATAAAGATGACCTTGGTTCACCTTTTCATAACATGCTTTTAATTTAGGTATAGGATAGTTTTTGGAGCTGATTTTGAACTCAGCGCCCATCTGAACATTTAAGAAGTAGTTGTGTTGCTTATACATATGTATAACATGTTAGGAAGCAATCGATGGTGGTCATCCACTATTAGGTACTGGTCGATCTGACCTGACCTGACCTGATCTACCCCAAATGCATGGAGTCATCCTCTTCGTTCAAAACTAAGATAACATTCGTAATCAGAATCTCGAAAAACCATCACAACTTACATTCGCAAAGTTCTAGCAGGTCCCGAGTTTCCCTACGTATTGGCGATGACCTGAGTCCTGAGATGACCCGAA